AGGGTCAGGCAGTGAGTGAGAGCTACAAAGCTGCAGCTGCCACAGGCAGATTTATTGGGCTGGGAGATCCCTTAAAGGTACAGCTCCAAGTGCAATACCAGCAGGATTTAGCATCCTGAATGAAAATCTCATGAGATGAAGATTCAAGCTAAGAGGTACCATGTTCTGTTCAATCTGGGGTTTGCCATGGCATGTGGGAATTTGCTGACTGTATTTTTGGGTGAAGTTTGGTACAGTTCAGTGTGACTGTGCCCTGGGATTGCTCCACTTTGGCATCTGGTATTTAAATTTCATCAGTGCTGCTCTGCAGGCCGCAGCACTCCTGCCCTCCAGGTGGTCAAGGACTCAGTCAGTCCAGGAACAAACAGCAGGGGGAACTCAAGGTTGGATTCTGAATCCTTTGGTCTTTGTGTACCACTTAATAGTAGCAGCTAGAATCAGGGTGGAGATTGGTCAAAACCAGTACCAGGGAACACTTTCTTTCTATTGATCCAGTGAGAATTATCCAAACCCACTAATATTACACATGCTTTATTAAAGAACAGCTAAAAAGAGATTAGGATCAACTAGTTTCGATTTATACTTAATAAAGTAAACAATTCTCATCTTAGTTACAAAGAGGAGAAAAAAGTGAGTCACTTACATGCAGGATCCACTCTGATCCACTCATCAGTGTCGTGCTGTTAGGAATCAGCTCCTGATCCAGGCCAGGGTCACTGCCCTGAAGCTTCCCACATGGACACACAGCATGTCTGACCCTGCAAGACACAGAACAGAGATGTCAACTGACAATCAGCAGCCACTTCCTAAGAGCTCTCAAACCCAGGTGAAGGTACCAGCCCCTGGTGACACAGACTGAACAGAACAAGCAGCTGTCGTGTCCTGTAAGCCCTAAGCAGAATCACAGAATCAACAGGGTTGGAAAAGACCTCCAAGATCATCAAGTCCAACCTTACTGTGGTTACTAGACCATGAATTCCTCCTCCCTCCCTTTCCCATCAAAGCTGTCACCAAAGACAATGACTCAGCTCCACAGTAACACTTAGGGCCTACCTACTTCCTAAAGCAAAGAAAATAGGTCACTTGGATTAACACATGTTCAAATTTGCATTTAGTTGCTATTCACATCTTATTTAGCACTTGAGGATCTTTACCTCCAGTAAACTGAAAGATGAAAACCAGCCCAGGGATTACCTTTGTTTCTGAGGCAGCTCCAGTGTTCTTGCAGACAGCCACAAAGTGAATCTAGAAGAGAACAAGCTGTACAAGTTCATACATGGGAAGTGCACACAAGGATCTGCAGGGAGAATGTTCTAGTGATTTGCCTTGTTCTTAATGATCTCTCCTCATTTACCCTCAGGGAAAAGGATTTCCCTCCAAACTGGGAAAAGGAAACAGCAATTAGGGACAGAATTTAACCAAACTTCACAGTATCCTCCTTCAGTGTTTAATGCTCTCAAACCAGTGAGAGCAGGGGAAAGAGAACAGACCCAAAATGAGCACTGAGCGTAGAGTGGACTCAACCATGACATGTTCTCCAGCAGTTCAGCTTTTAGGGAGCAAGAGCAAGGAAAGGGATATTCCAAAGAACAATTGACTCGTTGATTTTTATCTTTTATTATGAGCTAATACCAGGATGACATTCAAATGTCAGATGGCACAATTAAGACAGTCTTGGTAGGAATTATTCCAGCATTCCCAAAATTACAATTTAGTACACGAATGGCATCAAATGCATCACTCCCACAGAGAAAATGATGGAATTCTGAGTATCTCAGACCAGAATAGTTTCTGCATCAAATGGGAAAAAGAAAAACTGCTGGTAACACAGCTGACCTAGAAACCTCTTCTGATAATGACCTGCAGAACAAAATATTTCCCTATTTAACATCTAGTAAAAAAAAATATGACTTTTGTTCAAGTTTAAGATTTAATACTTTTTTTTATATGGTTAGCCACAACAGGTATTAACCTCAGTTTTACTCTATTTTTTTTGTAATGCTACAAAAATCCTATAAAATCAAATTATAGTGAATTTCTCCGTGATTATAATTAAAAAAGCGCAGCTTGTACAAAATAAAAAAAATAAGATTCTATACTCTAATGAAAAATTTAAGACATTTTTTAAATGAACAAAAGAAAGCACTTGTTAAGCTCTCCAATATTCAATGCATTCTGCACTTAGCTGCAATCACCAGCCAGGAGCTCCAACTCCACTCCCCTCTGTTCTCAACTAGTTTTGACACTATTATATATATATATAGAGGATCTATGTCTGATATCTTTACAAATAAATACAGGATAAACCATATTGCATAGTGTGTGCTTTGCTGTCTGAGTCACACTCCAAAAAGTTTCACAGTTATGGTAGGGAATTCAACTTAAGAATCTTATGGGATGAAACATTGACAGTACATGGAATTGCCTCAGATGAATTGGGTTGGTTATCAATCAGTGAACTCAGACAAACAACTCTTGCCATTCTTGCCAGCCATGGTCATCAATCCCACTGGACAGCTCTATCCAGCCAACCAAAAAAAAGCAACTGTTAGCTGTAATTAGGACCAAGAGATCTACCTCGAAGTAATTACTGTTCAACCAAGTCCTTTCTCCTCAGTGGACACGTCAGGAAGCCCTTGGTAAGGAGCTGGAAGTGCTGTGTGTTCACAGATCTGAGCACTTGATTTCAGTTTCACAGTATATCCCCCATGGCCACGTTACCAACTGAGCACTGGCAAACTTCCAGTACAATGTATGTCACTGTAAGGTAACTTGATTTGCCTTAGAAAATAAAATAGAGTCATTTTTTTTCCAACAAAAAGCTTATCAGGAAGAAAAAAAAAAACAACCTAATTTTTGCTCAATCCTAACCATCTTTTTCTGTTGGTTCTTTGTCAGAAATAGCTGAATCCTTCCCACTTGCAAATTTTTGCAAAGAGCTCTCTGATTGGATTCAATGCTTAGAGAGTTTTTATGGCTTGGATCCTATGGCTCAAGAAGATTCAGTATCCACAGAGTAATCAGAATCCATTAAAAAATCCCTACTGTTGTGAAACACCAGAAGTAGACTTTGCACAGTTTGACTAAAGATAATGCAACATGTGGCAGGCAAAAAGTGACAGGACTTGTATGCAGCTATGATCATCTACACACACACACACACACCAGACACACTCTAACTAGTGTAAAGCTCTGCAGATATTAACCCTTTCACCAGCTATGTCCATGGAAATGCTTTCTTTAAGGCAGGAAGTATTTAAGTAAGGTAAAGTTTACCTTTATTTTATTCTTTGTACCTGTTAAGTCATTTGTACAGATTGTGACAATTTTAGAAACATAAATAAGTGTCCTTAGAACATGTTTCCTAAATTAATTCAGTTTGCTAAAGTTCTGACCCACTGTGGAAGACATTCACTGAAAGGCCATTGAACACTTTTCTCATACAATCAGCAAATTTATTGCCCCAGCATAGAAAAAAAAAAAAAGGTTGAGAAATTTAGAAATGTATCATGGCAGGGAACTCCCATCAGCAAAATTTTATTATTAATAATAATAATAATAAAAAAAATCCTCAAATTCTTACCCACCGGTTACAAAAATATTTATTTCCTTATACTATGTAGGATTTGTCTATGTTTCCTGTGATACTTCCTAGAGATTTCTACTGACCTTGTGGCTGATGTACTGGTTCCTGATCTGCTCTATGGGTAAGAATCTGACCACGTTCAGCTGACTCCAGTAAGGACCAGAGTGTACAAAAGTGATGTTTCCCAGTGAAA